AAATCAATGCGAATAATCCGCTGTAAAGTGGACCGAGCCATGCCCAACTGCTGAGAACGGCGTTTTTGCGATGTTCTTGGGGACCTCTCAACACTGGCTCGTACGACAGTGATATTCTCGGCCGAACGCCTTGGTCGACTTTTATATGGCCTCTTCGAATTAGAAAGAGCCTTACCAGTCGAAAATTTTTCGTATAAACGCTTAATGGCGTTCTTAGAAGGCGCACTTCTCACATTTTTTAATGTTTTAAAAGCACGTTGAGTTTTCACAATTGACTTCTTCTGTTGAATGTAAATTTCAACTATTTCGCGTGGCGTGTATTGGTTCATGGTAAAAATCTGCTTGGACTGACGCTTCAAACGCGGTATGTCATTAAGCGATGTGACATCTCTGTCAAAAGTTATGGCGTTGCCAGATGGGTCCGTCGAATATGGGCAACCCTGTACCCTCCCCAAGCATATGGCTGATGGTATAAACAGGAAATATTTCCGGGTTTTTTAAGATCATTGAGGTTAATATTTTTTTAAGGTGTACAATTGAAATAGAGTTATATTTTTTTGTGTTGCACAGTTTAATCTATCAAATTAGCAACACATTTTTCAATCTCGAAACATAAATTTGATAGAATCGTAAAAAAATCGATAAATAAATCCCCTGCAAATCCGGCAATTTCAAAATATTGTTTATAATAAACACGATTTACTGCTTAGTGTGGCACTCACTCACACACACACACACGAATGCAGTTATTGGCCAATCGCGGATTGGTGGCAATTTTAATTGAATTTATGAATTTCAATTTCAAATGAAAATATCAAAATAATGTCTGTCGCTTTGACAGACCGAAAACAAGTATTTCTATTTAAATTGGCTTGTTGCAGTTGTTGCTTGTTGTTGCTGCTGCTGTTGTTGTTATTGCAAATTGGTCGTTCGTCCGTTCATTAAACATGTCATAAATTCTTGGTTAAATTGCGGTTTTTGCTAATATCGCCACACCACAGCTACGCAGTTATTTGCAGCATTTAGTTTTGTTTAATTGCCCAATAAAAATGTTTAGAACTGGGGACGAACAAAAAAAAAACAATTGAAATAAGAGATAAATGAATGTGAATTTAATAATAATGGGTTTTAATTGGTACACAGAAGAAAAAATTGGGGAAAACGAAAATATATGAATACGCATTAATGATATAGAACCTTTTTACACAGTCTCTTTAAACAGTGTCTGTTTTTAATGAAACTACACCAAAAAAATAGATTATGGAGCGTATGATTCACGGCAATATGTATACGCAATGTTGGCCTTTTTTGTGCAATAATCAAAATTTTAATTCTTTGTGAAGGAGTTACGAGATGAGGTGAGTCAATACATTCCATATTCACATCAGATCTCCGATTGAGAGAAATATTTAGTTATAGAAAATTTGAAAAAAATTGCTGATATGTTTCGCAAGTTATGAGAGATAAGTATTTAAAATTGTGACCCTTTGTGTGGGAGGTACCAGAAGGGATAGGCCGATATCTATCATCTACTCACTAGATTTTGTATAAGTAAAAATATTGGGAATTGTGACGTTTGAAGAGAGTCGAATGCTTTTTTCGATTTTTTTTTTTTTTTTTTTGAGAGAAATATTTATTCAAAATTTGGACCCGTTGTGTGGAAGGTACCAGAAATGGTGCACTGATATATTCCAACTTCACACCAGATCCTATGTTAATAAAAATATTGGAGTGTGTGAAATTTGAAGACAATCGGAAAAAAAAACATCTTCAACCCTCCACCATTCACATTTAAAGTTCGTAACGGGTACTACAGCCTATGACAGAAAATTGTCTGTGCAGGTCCACGTCTTCGCATAGCCCCCATATAACGGCACCTCCCGATATTCGGTATTTTATGATTTCAGCTGGATTATTCACTGGAATCGTTTCACCGTTTGTATTGGGAGATCTTAATGGATACTACAACCTATGGCAAGAAATATCGTATGCAGGTCCACGCCTTCGTATAGCCTCTATATAACGGTACCTCTCGATATTCGGTATTTTCATGATTTTAGTGACATTATATACCGGAATTATTTCAAATTTCGTATTTTAAGTTCGTAATGGGTGCTACAGCGCATGACAAAAAATACCGTAAGCCGGTCCACGTCTTTTTATAGTCTCCATATAACAGTTTTCATTTAAGTGGTAGTTTTCGGAAGTTTTTTGAAAATTTTCAAGTTCCTTTCAAATGGTGGAGGGTATTGAAGTTCGGCCCGGCCAAACTTAGCTGCTTTTTTACTTTTTTATATTAAAGAATCTAAATTCACAAGTGTTCCGCTTTAAACTACAAATACCAGTAAAACCGTTTGGATAAAGCTTTTAAACTTTTCAAAAAAACATAAAGTGGGTTAGGCCGTTGGATGGAAGCCATACCGAAACGGGAACCTCCATAGACAATTTTATACTTCAAGGATTGTCATCTACCAAATCTTATTTGAAACAATTTCGTGGGTAAATGTGACGAGGATTATCAAAATACCGAGTATCGGTGGGTATCGTTATATATGCGCTTTAGGAATACTGGACTTAAATCTTCAATATTCAGCACCGGATCTGGAATCCATTTTGAACTACAAATACTAATTTTTAGACAAATCCTTGCAAAAATGTGACAAAAATCATGTAAATACCAAATATCAGGAGGTACCGTTATATAGGGGTTATACAAAAACGTGGACCTATACAGGCATTTTTTCGGCACCGGTGCTTGAACCCATTATGACCTATAAATACGAATTTTATGATACATTTTTGAAAAATATTTTATCAAAGGAAGTCCAGGGCTCAAAGCTGCAATCATTGACGTTTTGAGAATTAGGAGCTGTAATAGTAGATTATTTAAGGAATAACATATTAAGGCTTTTCAGAATGCAAGCATGAGTTTTTTGGGAAATAATTGTTCAATACACCTCCAGAGACTTTTTAGAGAAGGACCTATACAGGCATTGTTTCGCCACCGGTGCTTGAACCAATTATGACCTATAAATACGAATTTTATGATACATTTTTGAAAAATATTTTATCAATGGAACTCCAGGGCTCAGAGCTGCAATCATGGACATTTTGAGAATTAGGAGCTGTAATAGTAGATTATTTAAGGGATAACATTTTAAGGCTTTTCAGAATGCATTCATGAGTTTTTTTGGGGAATAATTGTTCAATACACCTCCAGAGACTTTTTAGAGAAGGAATTTTTAAGTAATTCCAACCGCTGCAATTTTGGATTTTAAAAAAAGTATCCCCAGAGTTATGATCGTAGATTTTTCGAGGGATATATATTTTTTCGTATATTTTTACACCCTCCACCATGGTAGTATACATTTTAGACACAACGTATATATATTCTTGGTCAGCATAAAATTCTATGTCGATTTAGCGGTGTCCGTCTGTGGAAATCACTTTAGCTTCCGCACGAAATTAAGTAGGTTGATAAAATTTTACTCAAATGTATATTATGTCTGCAGTTATTGAAAATGGACAGGTCCACGTCTTCGTATAGCCCCCATATAACGGTACCTCCCGATATTCGGTATTTTAATAATTTTAGGGACATTATTCACCGGAATTGTTTCAAATTTGGTATTTGAAATTCGCAATGGTTACTACAGCCTATGACAGAAAATTGTCTCTGCAAGTCCACGTTTTGGCATAGCCCCCATATAAAGGTACCTCCTGATATTCGGTATTTTGATAATTTTAGGGACATTATTCACCGGAATTGTTTCAAATTTGGTAGTTGAAGTTCGTAATGTATAGTACAGTCTAAGACAGAAAATTGTTTGTGCAGGTTCACTTCTTCGTATAGCCCTCATATAACGGAACCTCCCGATATTCGACATTTTGATAATTTTAGCGACGTTATTCACCGGAATTATTTAAAATTTGGTATTTGAAGTTCGTAAACGATACTACAACCTATGACAGAAAATTGTCTCTGCAGGTCCACGTTTTGGTATAGCCCCCATATAATGGTATTTTGATGTTTTTAGCTACATAATTCACCTATTTTTTTAAGTTTCGCATTTGAATATTGCAATGGCTTGTAACAAAAGTTGCCTATGCAGGTCCACGTCGTCGAATTGACGTCTACATTCGGGTTTTTTAAGATTTGAACGGAATTTTAAACGTATTTTAATTTTTTGAAAATTACCAATATCGTTTCAAATTGTGGAGGGTATTCAAAGTTCGGCCCGACCGAATTTTCAGCTTTTTTATTTGTTTTATCATTAAAATTAATTGAATTGCAACGACATTATGGCGTATACGTTATGACAACACTCATACACACCATGTCCCACAATTAAAAATCACACTCATTTGTACCCACTTTAATAATGAATTTAATTCCCAGCTGCAACTGGTTATAAAACAATTATTAATGAAATGCATTTAAAATTAAAAAAATCTCCACTCCACCCCAAACCCTCATATTAAAAATAAACTCATCAAAGAGGCCATTAAAATATTTTACCATTATAAAGTGTTTGGAAATCCTGAAAAGGCAAACATTAAATAATGGCATGGCATAGCATGCATGGTATGGTCCCGGACCCCGGGGAAGAGAGAGAACGGGACAAAAAACATTAAAACAATAAAAACCAAAAAAAAAAATAAATATTGTGAATTAAACATGTGCCATTAATTAATGAAACACTGTGTGGATGGGCTGGCTGGCTGCCTGGCTGGTTGGCAGACAGCGGCCACTGCAGAATGCCAGCCAAGTCAAATGGCAAATAAAATACCACAGAATATTTTACAAATGACCAAAGTTGCGTTGAATAAATTATGATGAAAGTGAATAAAAATTGAATTATCTCTTGTTTGTGTGTAATTAAAATAAACACATTAAATTAATTAACAACAAAGTGCACTCTCGCACACACACACACACACACTCACACACCCAACTGATGAATATTGACCACTGTTTCCATTGCAACATTTCATTACAGATCCTCATCATGCGGCCGTAAAGAATAGCATGAAAAAGAAGAAACTCGTCTCGGCACATATTGCATCCAGTGCATCCATCCTGCCACCCGATGTCAGTCCGTCGGGCAGCAGTGATAGTCTGATGCGTGAACGATTGGCCCCACCCGCAATTAGCACTACACCGCCGGCTGTTAGCTGTATGGAAACAACAGAGGATGATTCCGATTCCGGGTCGACCGATGCTCGCCGTAAAAAGAAGGCACGGACTACATTTACAGGACGTCAAATATTCGAGCTGGAGAAACAGTTTGAAATTAAAAAGTACCTTAGTTCAAGTGAACGAACCGAAATGGCAAAGCTGTTGAATGTCACCGAGACGCAGGTAAGTGGGAGGGAACTATTTTTAAGACTTTGGGGGGTGAATGTGTGATGGATGGCGGTTGTCATACGCAGAGGGGGTTTCAAGTGCGGGAATTAAAACAGATCTCTATTAATAAAAGAGTAACGTAATTGACTGAATGACTCAAGGATGATGACAATGACTCATCGACGCCCAGACGAAACGGTTGAAGCTAGAATCCTGACATTTTGGGTGAGGATCACTCTTCGTCCGAAGGGGTCAGATATGCCTGAGTTTTTAGAAATTCGTGCTAGGACGGTACGAATACAGGGTTGCCCATATTCGACGGACCCATAACTGTTTGGGCCCATTCCAATCGACGAGGCTTGTCCGCAGGCAACATTCTTTGCGTCAATTGAATTTTGTACGGGAACAAATGCAAATCAGTGCGAATAATCCGCTGTAAAGTGGGCCGAGCCATGCCCAACTGCTGAAAACGGCGTTTTTGGGATGTTCTTGGGGACCTCTCAACACTGGCTCGTTCGGCAGTGATATTCTCGGCCGATCGCCTTGGTCGACTTTATATGGCCTCTTCGGATTAGAAAGAGCCTTACCAGTCGAAATTTTTTAGTATAAACGCTTAATGGTGTTCTTAGAAGGCGCACTTCTCACATTTTTAATGTTTTAAAAGCACGTTGGGTTTTCACAATTGACTTCTTGTAAATTTTAAATATTTCAGAGCGCTCGCGTGGCGTGTATTGGCTCATGGTAAAAATCTGCTTGGACTGACGCTTCAAACGCGGTATGTCATTAAGCGATGTGACATCTTTGTCAAAAGTTATGGCGTTGCCAGATGGGTCCGTCGAATATGGGCAACCCTAAGATACTAAATATGGTGCTCTTTGTATTTAAGGAAGTAGTAGAGCTAGAACTATTAAATTTGGAATGAGGGTCACTGATGGGGTGTATGATAGATGTCTGAAAGGGTGTATGGAAATTCTCATCATAAGTCTATAAAAAGTACTAATAAGTACAACATTTTGTACCATTTCGTATCAGATGAACAGTTTGAGCTATAAACTTGAAACTTGGAATGGGAATCAAGGTTGAGAAGTAGAGTCGATGTAAGGAAGTATTCTTGAAGGTGCGTAATCATGTATACGAAAAGTACCAAACGGTACAAAATTTAGTGCAATTTAAATTTGGAGGAAGGGGGATGGAACTGGAATCCTTAAATTTGAGGAAGTTTTCGAAAGTTGTACTTACGTGCTCGAAAAGTACTAAATGGTGCTACATTTGGTATGATTTCGATTTGGGTGAACCGGTAGAGCTAAAATTCTGAGATTTGGAAATACGATCACTCTCGGAGAGTAGAATTGGGATATATTGACAGTTATACAAATGGTACAAAATGTGATACCAATTAACTGATATTCTGAAAATTGGAAATAAGTACTCTCGAATTTTAGGATTGGGATATGTAGATAGTTATGAAAAATTGTACCTAAGTGTACTAAATGGTAAGTAATTTGGTATACTTTGGATTTGAAAATATTCCCAAAATTGGAAATAAGATTACTGTCGGAGTATAGGATTGAGTAATGTGGGAAGATTTAGAAATTCGTACTTATCTAACCAATATGGTATTAAATTTGGAACATTTGTACTGAACCGATGGAGATGGTATCTAGAAATTTAGAATTGGGGTTACTGTGGGAGTATACAGGGGGCGATAAAAAAATGCAAAAAAGTCAAACGCCATAATTTTTTTTTTTTTTTTTTTTTTTGAATGATTCATACGATTTTAGAATAAATTTAGATTCTTTCGAATTGGTCACCTTTGACACGAATTATAGCCTTCAAACGGCCAATGAAACCGTAACACGCTTCCTGAATGTTGCTCTGCGGTATTTTGGCTCATTTCCAGCGAAGCGCTTAAGGTGATCGACACTTTGGTATTTTTTAGTGTCAAACATGCTTTCCAAAATTCTCCAGACACAATAATTCAACGGATTGGCATCCGGAGATTTTGATGGCCATTGTGGTGGACAGGAACCTCATTTTGTAACCATTCTTGGGTGGCGCGTGCTGAATGCGATGGTGCTGAGTCCTGTTGGAATGTCCAAGGTCTGCGGTTGAAATGTTTGTGTGACTAAGGCTTTAATACACCCTCCAGAATATTTTCGCGATAATATTCGGCATTTATTCCGATGCAACGGCATTTGTTCCGATGCAACTAGCGGAGAGCGAACATCGGCTGTTATGGCGTCCCTCACCATCACCATGGCCGGCGCTTGAGTTCTGGTGGCCAACCGAAGCTGCACATTTTCAGCTGACCTCTTTGGCAAGTAAACACGATCATTTTGTTTGTTTACAAACTGCTGGACAACGAATGTTTTGTCATCGGAGAAAACCAAATTCGGCAGTTCACCACTTTCGGCCAAGCGAGGCAACTCTTTAGCTGTTTTGAGTCCATTTTCTTTATGTTGCGGTGTATGTTCTTGCACTTTTTGGAATTTCAATGGCTTTTCCCCGAGCTCATTTGTCAATATTTGCCGAATGGAATATTGCGATATGCACGAGCCATTTTTCGGCTTCTTTACTTTTCGAACCATTTCCGCTGATGTTGCTGTTTTCTTCCGCCCACTTCCTTCACGTCGGGCTACGCTACCAAAAGATTTATTCACATTTAAATGCGGGAGTGCTTTAACGATAGCCACTTGTGGTTTTCCAGCCAAATATAAAGAAATCACACTATCACGCTTGAATTCCATCACGCATAACTTTTTTTCAAGAAAATTCTCACCAAAATGCTTTTGTACGCTTGTAAACAATATAATGAGCTGTTGCCAGAATAATTTTAACAGCTGTCGGACGAGTGGCTTAGAAATGACAGCAGTCTGAAGTTGGTTGCAGTTTTTTTCATCTCACCCGTTATATAAAAACTATGAGAATAGTACCATTTCTATAAACAAAGCGAAACTTTTCACGTGAACCAAAAAAAGCCCCTTCATAATTTCCCCTCCAGGGCAAAATTCTCTCTCCCTCTCTCTATGCCAAACAACAAAATTCATTATGTAAATAAAGCTTCATTGAACAAAATTGCTAAGCACCCACATAGCTGCACATCGAAAAATTACTAAAATCAATGACCAATTACGGATAATATTAACAGCAAATAATAGAAGCAACAACAACAACAATTGTAACACCAACAAGGACAACATAATATTTACATAAATGAAAATGTGTGGTTTATGAGCTTGTGAATGCTCAAATTAGGTGTGATTATAATCACATATGCATAGCAGTATATCAATTAAACGAGGGTGGTATGGAAATTGATGGGGAAATTTATATATTATATATTGAGTGGACGTCGGGGCTTTTTATATATATATTCAATGGAAGATTGAGGTATACAAAGGTAGAATCCTTAGAAAGGTAGTATTTTATGCAGTAATGGATCTGTTGGAGGACATATTTCTTCAATTTCTTAATTTTAAGTGCATTTATTTATACCCCACATCACATAGTGGTAAGGGGATTATTACTTTGTGCATTTGTTTGTAACATGGAGAAAGAAGTGAGATAGACCCATAGTTACTTTTGAGGATCTTCATAGAATCACTTTCTGAGTCGATTTTTGCATGACTCTCCGTCCATCCATCCTTGTGAACAAAATGCAGGTCGCATTTATTATTCGATTGAGATGAAATTTTGCAAACAATATTTGTTTGGCCCAAGGACGAAATTGAAATAATTGAAATTGATGATAATCGGATCAGATTTAGGTATAGCTATCATATATCATCAACCGGGGTAATTGTGCACCGAATGGCCAATATAAGTCCAAATGACCTGTATTTTGGTACTTCTCACCGAATTTAGTCTAGAGGCTATTACATCAAATTTGGTGAAAATCGGTTCAGATATAGCTATAGCTCCCAGACATATGTTTCATCCGATTTTAGGGTTTTAAGTCTATCACATGCGTAATAAGCACTTCACAACAATGATATTTGATACCAGATACCAGATACATCCCTGAAAAACCTCTGCCAACTTTTATCAAGATCGGTTCAGATTTGGATATAGCTCCCATATATATCTTCAACCGATTTTGGGTTAATTGTGCACCAAATGACCATATCTGCCCAAAAGAGTTTAAAAACGACAAAGCTGTTAAATGTCACCGAGACGCAGGTAAATGGGGGGAACTAATTTTAGGACCTTGGGGGTGAATGTGTGAAGGATGACGGTAGTCATACGCAGAGGGTGTTTCAAGTGCGGGAGTTAAAAAAAATCTATCTAAAATCTGACTGACTTACCGATTTATCAACGCCCAGACGAAACGGTTGAAGCTAAAATCTTGAAATTTTGGGTGAGGATCACTCATGGTCCGAAGGAGTCAGATATGCCTGGCAGAAGCTGGTACATCAAATTTGGAGAAAATCGGTTCAGATATAGATATAGCACGCATATGTATGTTTTATCCGATTTGGTGTTTAAAACTCTCAAATTCGTAATATCCATTGATATATCGGAAATACCTTTGCCAAATTCTATCGAGATCGGCTACAAATTGGATATATCTTCGAAATATCCATAATCCGATTTCAGGTTTATTGTGTAAAAATGGCTAATACAGGGTTGCCAATAGTCGACGGACCCATCTGGCAACGCCATAACTTTTGACAGAGATGTCACATCGCTTAATGACACACCGCGTTTGAAGCGTCAGTCCAAGCATATTTTTACCATGAACCAATAAACGCCACGCGAGCGCTCTGAAATAGTTGAAATTTACATTCAACAGAAGAAGTCAATTGTGGTAACTCAACGTGTATTTAAAACATTAAAAAATGTGAGAAGTGCGCCTTCTAAGAACACCATTAAGCGTTTATACGACTGGTAAGGCTCTTTCTAATCCGAAGAGGCCATATAAAAGTCGACCAAGGCGATCGGCCGAGAATATCACTGCCGTACGAGCCAGTATTGAGAGGTCCCCAAGAACATCCCGTTCTCAGCAGTTGGGCATGGCTCGGTCCACTTTACAACGGATTATTCGCATTGATTTGCATTTGTTC